CTTTCTAGTGTACTGGTACCAGAAGTGGAAGCAAGGTATGTTTTGGCTGGTAACTACTATTGTTACCTATATTCTGTGTAGGATGATTTTAAATCCTATGAAATTTGGCAACTCACTTACTTCTCTTAGGCCAAATGAGATGCGGTTCCCATATATATTGTACTGGATTGGGGACTTCTTGCATGCTATTCCAATGCTGTTTCCTTTCTAGTGTACTGGTACCAGAAGTGGAAGCAAGGTATGTTTTGGCTGGTAACTACTATTGTTACCTATATTCTGTGTAGGATGATTTTAAATCCTATGAAATTTGGCAACTCACTTACTTCTCTTAGGCCAAATGAGATGCGGTTCCCATATATATTGTACTGGATTGGGGACTTCTTGCATGCTATTCCAATGCTGTTGTATTCTGCTGTTCTTGTGGAAATAGTTTACTCCTTTTATTTTTTATAGTAAATGTATAACATCCTTAGAGACTATCATTTATTTGACTTAGTTGCTTGTCCATGCACGATAGTCAATGTGTAGTTCGCTGTTGTATATATAAGGGCATTGTGAACAACTCATTGAGCTACACTATATAATGCTTCAACTATTTCTTCATTCCTTTCATGAGTATATTCTTTATTTGTTAGAGAGTGTTTGGGAGAGCTTATTTTTTGTAGCTTATAAGCCAAGCTGGTTTTTGATGGCTTTTGGCTTTTATGAAAAAGTTTATAAAAATTGTTTGGGTAGTATTGCTATTTACTTAGTCAAATCTAGCTTATTTAGATGAGTTAATTTTTCAAAAGTTGGGGAACCCCAACTTTTTTATACGTGGCTTAAAAGCTAGCTTATATGGGATGTTACCAAACACGTAGATATAAAAAACTAGATTATAAGCTACTTTGACCAAAAAATAAGCTCCGCCAAAAACCCCCTTAGTCCTAGGCTGCTATTTTATTAAGGAAAAGAAAGGAAATGGAGGGATCATTTTCTCGGTAGCACGTTGTAAATGCTTTTTTTTATTGATATCGCTTGTGAGGGTAGTATGATTGTGCTGAATTCATGAACAAAAACCACTCTAATCATCAATGATAACATTCTGTAGAACCTGTTATGGATAGCATTCTGTATAACCTGTTATTTCTGTCTTTCTTTTGTTTTCATTTATTGTCCAAGTATGTAAGTAGTACTGTGTTCTCTTACTTTTGAGCTCATTTATTGTCCAAGTATCTAACTATTACTGTGTTCTCTTAATCCAGGTCAGCAGCAACTTGTGTGTATGTGTAGAGTTCTCTTTCCATTTGTGTTCTCTTGATACAGTTCAGTAGCAGAGAGAGAGAGAGAGAGAGAGAGAGAGAGAGAGAGAGAGAGAGAGAGAGAGAGCATATCAGTCTTGTACTTGAATTTAACAGAAGAAATTTAACAGAAGAAATTAAGTGTTAGCCAATACCATCATGAATCATACAATATGTTTTTGAACTCTTAAACTAGCATGTACTGAGAGTGGGTCTAAAAAACCAATATCCAGTTATGAGCTGGTTGCTTCTGGTGTAATAGTTACTTGTTTCCATCCTATCTGATATCCGAGAAGGTTAGCAGACTTCTCGGTTATCGAAGTCATACCATCCTTCTATCCTAGCTTGTTCTAAAAGAAACCAAACCTTCCCTTTATAGTCAATATAGTTATTTTTGTGTTTAGTAACTGCAAGCCTTTTTTGTGTTTGGTCTCGGTCAAGTAAGACTGAGGCTTGACCTGATCTCCACAGTAACATTTTGATCTCACATTTGTAACATGTCTTTTTTGTTATATATAAAAACATATATATACTAGTTTTCCATTATTTTGGGCCATTACGAAGAATTTACAATGTCTCTTTCACTCTCTCTGCAGGTATGTGCCATCCTTTCTACCTCCACCTTCTAATAAAGGGACCGAGCCAGAGAAAAAGGTTAGCATATAAACTCTGGGTTTCCTCAATATAATTTTAGATCATCCATCACGACGATCTGATTTTTGTGGTCTAAGCTTCTATTTTATGGACTATAATTATATTTGTCCTATTGGGTTTTGCTTAAGTACTTGTATTTGAAAGAATTGGAGTAAAGTTGTTATTAAAAAAGAACTGGAATTGCACTGATTGAAATTAAAAAAGAATCAATTTGATCCGCCTATAAATCCCGTATTTAAGTGTTAAATAGTCGATACCAATGCTGTTAGAGTCCTGTACCCAAAACAAGAGTGAACTAGAATTGGTAGTATACTGGATATAAGTTATTCTAGTCCAACCTGTTCAACATGCTGGTCTTCCCACAACTTTTATCCTATCTTCTTTTTTCATGATCTATTCAACTGATCCACTCTTCTGGTAAATATCTGACTTAAAATGCATACATACCATGTGGTACAATCTTAGGCTTTTACTGCAATTAAGCGATGTTAGATGTACCTTGGCTCATGGCAACAAAATATTAGTTTATAAGATGCTCTTTAAAAGTTTTTGCAAGATGATTTTCTTTTCTAAAGCTTTTCTGTTAACTTGCAGAAGGATGATGAGAGGCCAAGGGAAAAGGAGAAAGGAAAACCACGTGCAATCGATAATTTCCTGGAAGAGCTGAAGCTTGAACAAGAGCTGAGGGAGAAGCGTAATCAAGAACGTGAGCAAAGACGCGAAGGGCGATATGGTGATAGTTCTGTGGTAAGCCTTATCCTACTTTAAACTTTCATAAGAGCAGGAATTGGGCCCACTATGTAATTATAGTTGAGGAAAGAGAATACCTTTCCCAAAACTGGATCCTTGTGTTGGGCGGTTTGCTTTTTCCCTCTTCAGCAGCCAAATCCTACAATGTGCATGAAAATAAGAGTTTGAAATTTATTGTTATGATTTTTATTTGTTCGGCATATGAGCCTTCCTCATGCTTCATTGATCTATCAACTTTTGCTTATATTGCCAGTTGCAACGGGCCTTTTGGCTGTGACCTATACTGATCATATTTCTCAGCCTGAGACTGTCCATGTATGAATTGGATTCTTGGCGATTAATTAGTGCACCGAAATAGCACTAGAAGCTTTTGGGGGCGGATTTTTTTGAGG